GTCCGCAAAACTCATAGATGTATTTAACGATTTAAAAATTGAAAGGGATCGTGTACACGTGTGTATGTATGCGCGCGTTCGTCGCGTTCAATCCGCGCCTGCACTTATGCAATCCGGTCCATCTATCGTTTATCCGCACGCATGGTCACACGTGTACAGGTGCATTTGACGACCCTTTTCTCTCGGTCGTGATTTATCTTGTATCCATAGGGTGGTCGGTTCGTAACGTAGGGACGGCCGACGGTAGCTCAACTATAGTGCGTTACGCGATAAAAAAAGCAACGGGCGTCGTACTGGCTACGTATCGCCTACTTATACGTAGAGACGAAGTTACACAGCATATATATATATATATACACATATATATGTATATATGTGTATATATATATATATATATATATGCGCGCATACCGGTAAACGTTTCTGTAAGTGCGTGTATACACGCGTGTGCATCGTTACGCATGCGCAGTAGAGCGCAGTCCCGGGTTCCAGTTAATCAATTGGTCGTTTAAGAGGCATTAATTAGCGCGTAAGCTTCGAAATCGGAAGTAATTCGTCGCGACACGTCGCTCATCGTTCATTCCAAATCCTATCCTCTCTCGTTCTGTTCCTTTCTCTTTCCTTCATTTATTCAGTTGTCACGCATTTGGAGACGGGTTACATGTGCACGCGTGTACCATTACCTGCCATAGTAAATACGGTTTTTTAGCTTGTACGTGAATATAGCGATAAGAATATAACGTGGTGCTACGTTTACAACTGTATTCCAATTCTATTCCGTTGCTTTATTTTAACTCGTCCTTTTATTCCTCCTTTTCTTTTTCTTTCTTTCTTTTTTTTTTTTTTTTTGCTTACCTTTTCGCTCTCTCTCTCTTTCTCTCTCTCTCTCTCTCTCTCTCTCTCTTCCCCTTTCTTCAATATCGATTCGTTTCATGGATGACGACAATTTAACAAACGTTCAATATTTTTGTACGGATGGTTTTTTGGTTTATAAATTTATAAAATATCGCATCGTGTCGAAGAGGCGAAAAAATGTATTTCGAAATTAATTCGACTCGATTTCTTTCTTCGCATTTATTTTCTCTTTTAAAATTTTACTTATCGCGCGCGCGCTTCAGGTATCTACGAATCACGAATTTGCATTCGATTTCATTCCCCCTCCCCCCCCCCTCTCCCTCTCCCTCTCCCCTCCCTTCTCCCATTTTTATTATCATCGCGATCGTTAAGAAAATCTTCAATCAATGTTATTAATATCGATCGATATATTTTATGACTATGCAAATCGACAAATAAATTTCAATATAATTCGTTTTAACGCGCGATTCACTGTTTTATGCGCCAATCGTATACGAGCATCCCGGAAAAAGATCTCCTCCGTTACTGTGAAACTGTGGTGGAACTGCGACCAGAATTTTTAGAAGTACGTTTATCTTTGAATAATAAAAACCGTTGTTCTGTCAAACAGATAGTGTTTATTGATTCATATACATATATACCAACCAACATAGTACAGAACTCGTTCTTTAAGAGTATAATTAGTAACTATCTATAGATTAATATCGTTGCTTTATGAAACATGCTTTACCTCGCGTCCTTGGTAATTTTTTTCTTTTTTTCTCTCTCTTTTCTTTTAGTTTCTATCTTCGATAGAAAATTAAATCGTTCTCTTCTCTTCTCTTTCTTTCCTATCGCGTACTTGCTTCGGATTAAATTATTGAAAGAAGATGTAATCGAGTAACAGCTATTCAAGCCATTTGTGGAATACAGTAAGGAAGTAAAAAAAAAAAAAAAATAATAAACGAAA